TGCCCACCTTGGCCTCCCAAAGTGCTGGGATTATAGACATGAGCCACTATGCCCAGTCAAGATTTATCTTTAACAACTGCATTGTATACTACATAAATGTAACAACAAAATTTAAATAATACTCTGGGAAGAACATATTTTTCTCTCCTACTATACACCCCCAATGGTTCTGACAACAGATGAGAGTTTTCTTCCACACTAAACAGTTCTCCAGCGGACACCAACTGGATGTCCCGTAATTCAATTCGGTTCTGTCACTATCTCCAGGTAGACAGTGTCTGATCCCACAGGTTAAGAGTTCAGTCTCACAAGCCTGGCCCCACTTCAGACACTAATCACAAGTCCCAGGTTGTGACCTGTGATTCCGACTGAATGGTTAGCACAGGATTCTAACCACCCCGTCCTTGGGTTCAATAATTTGCTAGACTGGGTCACAGAACTCTGGGAAACACTTTACTTACACTTAGTAGTTTATTATAAAGGATATTATGAAGGATATAGGACAGCCAGGTGAAGAGACACACAGGGAAAGGCAGAGGGAGAAGGGGTACAGAGCTGCCATGCCCTCTCTGGGTGCCATCCTCTTAACACTTCCATGTGCTCATCAACCTGGAAGCTCATCAGATTTCTTGTTCAAGAGTTTTTATAAGCCAGGCGTAGCAGCTCACACCTGTAATCCTAGCACTTTGGGAGGCTGAGATGGGAATATTGCTTGTGTCCAGGAGTTCGAGACCATCCTGGGCAACACAGTGAGACCTCATTTCAAATACAAAAACATTTAGCCAGGTGTGGTGGAGGGTGCCTGTGGTCCCAGTTACTTGGGACACTGATGTAGGGGGACAGCTTGAGCCCAGGAGGTTGAAGGCTGCAGTGAGCTATGATCGCACCTCTGCAATCCAGTCTGGGCAACAGAGTGAGACTTGGTTCAAAACACAAAAAGAAAAAAGTTTTAATGGAGCTTAATCTCCAGCACTTACCCTCCTCCTTTCCTGGATTTCAGTAGGTGGTGCCAAAAGTTCCAACCCTCTAAACCCCTAATCACTTAGTCTTTTTGGTGACTGGCCCCATCCTTAGGCTATTGATAGGCCACACCCTAAAAGTTATCTCATTAGGATGAACTCAGATGTTATCAAAAGGGGTACATTAAGAATAACAGAAGATACACTATCAGAAAATTCCAAGGGTTTTAGGGGCTCTGTAACAGGAACCAGGGACAAAGACCAAATATATTTACTATACTACAAATACCCTGTTTAACATTGTCTAGCTTTCCAAAATTATGAATGATGCTGCAACACATCTATGTATATAATTTTGTATATATTTCTAATAATTTCCTTGAAATAAATGGCTACAAGAGAATCAGGGTTAATGCTGTCATGTCCAATATGGTAGTTACTAGCCACATGTGACAATTTTATTTTAAAATTATTTATTTATTCATTTTGAGACAAGTTCTCACTCTGTTGCACAGGCTGGGGTGCAGTGGCATGATCATGGCTCACTGCAGCCTCAACTTCCCAAGCTCCAGGGATCCTCCCACCTCAGCCTCCTGAGTGGTAGGGCTATAGGCTTGTGCCTCATGTGGTTATTTTTATTTTTATTTTTAAAGGCTTTTAAAAATTTTTTAATTAAAAATTTTTTTTTTTTTTGGAAAGACAGGGTCTCACTCTGTTGCCCAGGTTGGTCTCAAACTCCTGGGCTCAAGTGATCCTCCAGCCTTAGCCTCCCAAGTGCTGCGATTATAGGAATGAGCCACTATGCCTGGCCTGTGTGACTATTTATTTATTTTCTGAGATGGAATTTTGCTCTTGTCTCCCAGGATGGAGTGCAATGGCGCAATCTTGGCTCACTGCAACCTCCACCTCCTGGGTTCAAGCAATTCTCCTGCCTCATCCTCCTGAGTGGTTGTGATTACAGGAGCCTGCCGCCAGGCCCGGCTAATTTTTTTTATTTTTGGCAGAGATGGGGTTTCACTATGTTGGCCGGGCAGGTCTCGGGTCAAACTCCTGACCTCAGGTGATCCGCCCGCCTCAGCCTCCCAAAGTGCTGGGATTATAGGTGTGAGCCACCCAGTGTGACTATTTAAATTAATTAAAATAAAATTCAGTTTCTCAGCCGTAATAGCCACATTTCAAGTGCTCAACAGCCTGATGTAGTCAGCAGCTACCATACTGCACGGTGCAGGATGTAGAACATTTCTATCATTGTAGAAGTCTATTGATAGCTCTATCTAAAGAAATGTTCACATAAAAATTTGGTATGTGTCCCATGAAGTGACATAACAATTTACATTCCCAACATGAGTATATGAGTTCCAGCATCCTCTCCTTGTCAACATCAGATCAATGTTCTGATCCGATAGATGAGACATAATGTTTTAGTTTGTATTTTTTATTATTATTAATGAGGCTGAAAGTCTTTTCACACTTTTTGGCCATTTATTTTTTTTTTAATCATTGTTGAACTATCTGAACTTTATCTATTTTAAAAGATTCAAATGTAACACTATCCTGTCCCTGATGAGCTATTAAAGCCAAACCATATATGCAGAAGACATTTCTCCATCTGTTTTGCTGGCTTCTTGAAAATTTCAGAAAGGTATTTATCAAAATAGCATAAAACCAGCTAACAGATTAGTACCACAGTTAGCTGAAGGCAATCTGTACTCTCATAGGTTATTTCCTTAAAGTAGAGTTAGTGGCTTACATTTCTCTAAATAACAGGACTAGTACTGCTGTATGTTACTGTTATGAGATATTCTTACAAATTTTCAAATTAGCTATAAAAACACTTTGATATATAAATAGAAAATATTTATGTTTTAAACATGAATACTACTGTCTGATTATATTTATATGAAAGTCTGGAACAGGAAAAAAATCACCTATGAGACAGGAATCAGAAGAGTGGTTAACCAGAGACTGGTGTGGTTGGGAAAGGAACGACTGATACAGCACACAAATGGAGTTTCTGACATGATGGAAATGTTCTCTATCTTGATAGAAATGTGAGTTACGCAGGTGAATACAACTGTCAAACTCATTGCATTCTACACATGAGAACTGATCTACTGTTTCACTAAATTATATCTCAATTTTTAAAAGGAGCAAAAAAAGTGAAAGAAAGTATTGTTCTACTTAGAATATGACTTACAGGCAATAAAAATAATTATCCTGGCTAGGTGTGGTGGTTCACGCCTGTAATCCCAGCACTTTGGGAGGCCAAAATGGGACGATAGCTTGAGCCCACCAGTTGGAGACCAGCCTGGGCAACGCGGTGAGACCCCGTCTCTACCAAAACACCCATAAAAATGAGCCAGGTAGGGTGGTGCATGCCTGTTGTCCCAGCTACTCAGGAGGTTGAGGTGGGAGGATCCACTTGAGCCCAGGAGGTTGAAACTGCAGTGAGACGTGATCACATCACTGCACTCCAGCCTGGATGACACAGCGAGATCCTGTCTTAAAAAAAAAAAAAAAAAAAAAAAAATCCCAAAAGTATTTATGGAACTGAAAGTATGATTTTCTGGCCTAGGAGACACAAAACAGGCTTTACTAAATTAGAGGTGGGGATCAGACTTTGTGACACCTTGAGCCAAACCATTCAACTGTCAAATCCAGAGGGCACTAGAAAATTAATATAATTTTAGGGCAAAATATATTAAGGTAACAGAAAAGCATTGCTATCTTTATAACATAGATGTATAATCAGTGTTTCTAAAAAGCCTGAAACCTGCTATACTGTTATGGAGCAGTACTTAATTTTTTTGAGCTGTATTTGCTGTGATAGTTTATGAACTTGGCTCAGTTTTGCCCCTTTTTCCTCCTGTTCTGGTGGCGCACACTAGCACAAAAGCGAACACGTTCACATGAAAGCTAACTGATTTGATAATGAAAAGTGTCTAAGGAGACAGCGAAAGAGAAGATGCTCCTTCCCACCCCAGGCTACCTTCCCAACCCCACTGTTAGGCTTAGGCTACACATTAATTATCTCAACTCATTACCAATGTATCACAACCTGTTCAGTGAGTGAGCTCGTTAGTGGCATAAACTATAATCTCATTCAAGTTCTTTGTAGACAAACTGAAGCTATTACAGTAACTTTTCAGAGACTACCTTGCTTGTGCAATCAGAAGGAGGTAGGACAGCAGGACTTCAGTCTCCAAAAGTGAAGGCTTGCTCAGTTAAGGGTGTGGCCCCAGAGCAAAGAAACAGGAGATTGTACATTTTATTAGTCTATCTGCTTTGTAGGAAGACAGATGTTTTTGTTATTACATTCTACATTAGACTCTGGCTTTGGAATCAAACAGATTTGATTTGAGAATTAGTTTTGCAATTCATTAGGCATTTGATCTTCAGCTAATTACTTCACCACTCCAAGTTGTTTCCTTAGGGGAAATAACAGTACATATTTCATAGGCATGTTGTGAGGATTAATGAAAACACAAGTAACATTTTAAGTCAGTGGATGGCACATTGTAGGCATTCAACAAACGATAGCTAGCTATAATCATACACAATTCTGTTCCTTAAGACCTCCGCAACCAAAACGCCACCAAGATATTCAGGCAGTCATATTTTGCTAACAAGGGATTAGCATAAACAGGAAATGTTCATAAACATAAATGTAGCATACACATAAAAATGTTCATTACAGAAATTTCAGCAGCCTACCACAGAAAAGGTTAAACAGAAAACTAAAAAGTATATATACATTTTGAAAACAAACAAAAAGACTGTTATGTTACAGACTCCTGAAGTACAAGATGAACATAACTCAAGGTTCACAAAAAATAATGAAAATTTCTTTGCTAAGCAGACACACTCAGTGTTTCCCTGTCATGCCACCGATTTATCTCAGATCCTACACTACTAAAGCCATAAAAAGACAAAAGGGCAAGTTATTCTTTACCACAGATGAGGTGGTCTACGATACAGTATCGATCACATTTTAAAATGCAGTGTAAGTGGCAGCTCTTGCACAATAAATAAAATAATTACCTGTTTCTCTTCATCCGACATGTTTTTTTCCAGTTCTATTAGGTATTCTTCATCTAGTTCAGAGGAATTCACATCTTCATTAGATTTGTTCTCTATCTTGTCCGCTCCTGGCTCCTCCTCAAATGAGGCACTGCAATCATGAAAACACTCCTCTTCTGCCTGGTCCTCCTGGAGATGCGCCTCATCATCCCTGAGCAGCTTACTCTGGGAATGCTGACTTTTGGGATCAGGAACTGGAAGGCCAGCACACTCGGCTTCCTGAGTATCTGTAACCTTCAAACCATTGAACAGATCCTCTGGAACCCTACAGTTCTCTGACTTCTCCCCCATGCTGTCCAGTGAGGGAGGTGACGCTAAAGCTGGGGGTAAACAAAACAAAACAACTGCTATGTAATGGTGCTTATATTTTTTAAAGTTCTGTTTTAAACCTAAACAAACCTCTGCATTACAGCCAAAAAACACACCGTAACTTCCTTTCACTGGAATTCATTATTTAAAAATATAGATTATAAGTAAAAATAATGTCAAATGTCATTTTAACTGAGACCCCTTTCCTGATCAAATCTGGTACTAGACTTTTTTTTTTGAGACAGAGTCTCACTCTGTCACCCAGGCTGGAATGCAATGGCGCGATCTCAGCTCACTGCAACCTCTGCGTCCGGGTTCAAGCGATTCTCCTGCCTCAGCCTCCCGAGTAGCTGGGATTACAGGCGCCTGCCACCGCGCCACCGGCTAATTTTTGTAGTTTTAGTAGAGACGGGGTTTCACCATCTTGGCCAGGCTGGTCTGGAACCCCTGACCTCGTGATCCATCCGCCTCGGCCTCCCAAAGTGCTGGGATTACAGGCGTGAGCCACCGCGCCCGGCCCAGAACTTCTAATAAGCAACAAAAGAAGCCGTTTTTAATGTGACTCTTCCACGTTCCACCGTTCGCGTTCTGTTTATATAACAAAAATTAGGCAGAAACTAAAACAGTGACAAGAAAAAGGAAGCAGCCCTAATTTTCATTCAGAATGAATAACCAAGACACGAGTAAGAAACTATGGTCCGTCTTTTTAGCACCACCACAGGAAACCCAAGAATACGTTTCTAGTATACCTCAAAATAAAATCCGTGCCAAAACTGTGATCACTTTAACCCAAACGCGTGTAGTAGAGCCCACGCAGCTTACAGTGGAAAGGGAACCTTCGCGCAGGTGACCCGAATCAGAATCACCGTGGGGGTCAGAGTCAGGCATCAGAAAGGGTGACTCTGAACCCTAGCTGCCCAACAGAACACTAGAGATTTAGAAAATACCACTGCTCAGACCCTAACCAAACTCTGATTTATTAGTGTGGCGTCAAGCAAGGGCATCAGAGTTGTTTTTTTTTTTTTTTTTTTCATCCGAGGTGATTCTGACGTGCAGCCAATTGCGAACCACTGCTGTAGAAGCTGAGTCAGAGCATCAGCAGCCCAGATATTTGCAAAAATTTGCTAGAGATTGGCAAAAATGTAAATTGCTCTAGTCGCAGCAAAATCACGCCAACGACCCTTGTGTCACGACAAGAGTCTGAATTCGCCCTAGTATGTTCCAAGAAAACTTAAAAACCAGCAAGACCTTAATACGGAGACTTCGCCTCCACAGCAATGTCTTATTTCTCTTCGCTCCCAGGTCTACTGGAAGAACACAGGAGTCTCAGCTCCTAGGGTTAGGGAAGCGACGCCTCGCGCTTCCAGCAGATTATTCCCTAGCTTCGTTCCTCACAGCCAAGAGGCTTAGACCCACGGGGTTACTCACAACCTCACAGCTTCTCCAGTCTCCACCTTCTTAGCCTCAGAGATCTTCTACTTCCGCTCAGTCAGGTGCGCTTCCGTCGATGACGACTAATAGCGTCGCTATCGGCAAAGCATCTTGGGAAATGTAGCGAAACTCTCAGGGAGGAAAGGCATGGTCGCTGTGTGACGTCATTGTACGGCGTGACATTTGAGAGATGGTTGCCATCTTGGGTTACGGCAAGACTTCGCGTTACTCTGCAGAAGAGAAAAAAGGACAAAAGGAAGTATGTCTCTGTGGTGTTCGTTTCACTATTTATTAATTAATTAATTTAATTTATTTTTGAGACAGAGTCTCAGTCTGTCGCCCATGCTGGAGTGCAGTGGTGCAATCACAGCCTCCACTCACTGCAGCGTCAACCTCCTGTGCTCAAGCGATTCTCTTGCCTCAGCCTTCCGAGTAACGGGGACCACAGGTGCGCGCCACCACGCCCAGCTAATTTTTTGTATTTTTAGTAGAGACGGAGTTTCACTATGTTGCTCGGGCTGGTCTTGAACTCTTGGGCTCAAACGATCCTCCCTCTCGGCCTCCCAGAGTGCTGGGATTATAGGCCACCGCGCCCGGCCCTTTTTTATTTTTTAAGGGCTAGCCAAGTCAGACAGTGGGAGTAGAGAGGAAACAAAAAGATCTGTAACTAGTTGTGATCAGTTAGTTGTAAACACCACTGCACTCAGACTAACCTCAATAATATATATATATATATATATATTTATTTATTTATTTATTTTTTTTTTTTTTTGAGACGGAGTCTGGCTCTGTCGCCCAGGCTGGAGCGCAGTGGCCGGATCTCAGCTCACTGCAAGCTCCGCCTCCCGGGTTCACGCCATTCTCCTGCCTCAGCCTCCCGAGTAGCTGGGACTACAGGCGCCCGTCCCCTCGCTCGGCTAGTTTTTTGTGTTTTTTTAGTAGAGACAGGGTTTCACTGTGTTAGCCAGGATGGTCTCGATCTCCAGACCTCGTGATCCACCCGTCTCAGCCTCCCAAAGTGCTGGGATTATAGGCTTGAGCCACCGCACCCGGCCAATAATATTTAAGACTGTAAGGGAACCCTGAGACCAAAAGTGGTTGCCTTATACATTCATTCGAGAAATGTTCATTGAATGTTTATTAGACACTGGGCATTGTGCTGGTATCACAGAATTGAAATATAGTACCCATCCTCAAGGTAGCCAGACAGGTAACCAGCAATGACAGCAGATTAATTCGTTTTCTGTAATTCACAGAACCTATTGCAGAGATAGATAGCTGGAAGAGACTTTTTCAGAGAGAGTATGAAACTTGGTTTTTGAATTTCCATGTAAATGAGGTTATGCATACAGTTATATTTTTTGTAAGTTGAAAGCTTTATATACTAAAAGAAAACATAAAAAATATATCATATTTTTGGTTTTAATATTTCTGAATTTTAAAAAATACACCCAGAATCTAAAAAGTATAAATGGAGGCTGAGTGTGGTGGCTCATGCCTGTAATCCCAGCACTTTGGAAGGTAGACATGGGAGGATCTCTTGAGGCCAGGAGTTCGAGACCAGCCTGAGCAACATGGCAAAAACCCATCTCTATGTATACATATGTGTGTGTGTGTGTGTGTGTGTGTGTGTACAAATTAGGTGGGCACAGTGGCGCATATCTGTAGTATCATCTGCTCAGGAGGCTGAGGTGGGAGGATCCTTGAACCTAGGAGTCAGAGGCTGCAGTGAGCTGTGATCACGACACTGCACTTCGGCCTGAAGTCTCCCTCTGTCTATATTAAAAAAAATATGGACAGAGGGAGACTCTTGTCTATATCAAAAAAAAAAAACAAAAACAAAAAAATAAATGGTTAGAGGCCCTGTTAATTCAATTCTGGTATAATGGAAAGGCTGTAAACTTTGGAGCTAAATAAATAAAGTAAATACATAAAACTTGAGTTACAGTCTCAGCTTTCTCTACAAGCTGTACAACTTTGAACAATAATTCCCATTGCTGATATTCACAGACTATATGCTTATTAAGCACCACATGCTGTGAAAAATGCTTTAGGTGGCTTATTTGATTATTGAGTTCTAATTCAGGCTCTGCCACTTGAGTAGAAGTGTGATTTTGGGACCAGTTACTTACGCTTCTAAGGTTTTTATTTTACTTTTTTTTTTTTTAAGAGACAAGTTCTCACATTTCCCAGGCTGGTTTCAAGCTCCTGGGCTCAAACAATCCTCCCGGCTCAGCCTCCTAACATGCAAGAATTATGGATGTGAGCCACAGGGCCCAGCCAACTTTTTAATGTATACATTTACCTCATATGTAAAAATTGGGATGGGTAACAGTCGTACCTACTCACAAGCTTGTTGGGAGAAAAAAATATCTAGAAGACAAGGAGCACAGGGCAGGGGAGAAAAAAATATCTAGAAGATAAGGAGCACAAGGCTTGGCACAGTGTTTAATGAATATTAGCAACAATAATATTATATGGCAGGTCTTGCGCCAGTAGCTGGGGACAGAAAGCCTAATAAGACACAGTCCTTGCCCTTCCCCATCATCAGGAGCTCACAGACTAGTGGGGGAGTGGAGGAGGAAAATAAAGAAGTTACTGAGCCCGAAAGAAGAGCAATCTGCCTTTCTTTTTATGCCAAAAGGAACCAAAGTGCAACTGACCCAATTTGGTAGGTCTTCACTAACAGAATACTCGAGTTAGGCTGTATAAAGAAGAATAGTTCACTTAGTGGGGGCGGGGGGCAAAAAAACCAGGATAGGTAGAAGGACATGGAATCTGGAGCATACAAATATCAGAAGCATTTTTAGGAACAATAAGTAGTTGGATGCTATTTAAGTATATATAGAACATAAAGTAAGAAACAAATTTTTAATGATGGAAGCCAATTCATCCATTCCTGGAAACATGAAGATTTTGTTTCTTAGTCCTTACAACTATCCTGTAAAAGAACAAGAAATGTTTTTGATTCAGAGGGTGGTTCTGTTTGTGTTTTCCCTGGCCAGAGACCATGTTTGCCCTGTTTACAGTTGTAAGGGATCAGTGAACATCCTATTTCAGAAATTTATGGCCAAAACACTGGCCACTCAGCTCTCTGAGTTGAGTAAGTAGATACTGACACTTTTGGAATTATAGGGTGGTTGTAAGAATTAAATGGTGTCATGTCTTATCTAAAACACAGAAAATGAAATCCTCAAGATAGAAAAAATACTTAAAATTTGTTTTGAGGCAGGTTCTCGCTCTGTCACCCAGGCTGGAGTACAGTGGCGCAATCTTGGCTCACTACAGCCTTGACTGGGCTCAAGCAAGCCTCGCCACCCCAGCCTCACGAGTAGCTAGGACTGATTATAGGCGCTCACTACCACACCTGACTCATTTTTGTATTTTTTGTGAAGATGGGGTTTTGCCATGTTGCCCAAGCTGGTCTCAAACTCCTGAGCTCAAGCAATCTGCCCGCCTTGGCCTCCCAAAGTGCTGGGATTACAGGAGTGAACCACTGCATCCAGCCGCTTTAATATTAATAGCACCGAGCACCGTAAGTACTCAATAAATGTTTGTTGTTATCGTAATCATTATTACTATTAATGAAGATCTCACAGATATTACCATTATTAACTACTAATAGTGATTTTTTATTACTATTGTTAATGACTACTACTACTATTATTAATTGTGGCAGTGTTTGTGAAGCTTTCATTCACACCCCCCAGATAGGGAACTGAGCACTCAAGTTTGTTGAAAGAATCAGTGCTGAACATAAATTATTGACTAATGAATACACGCTAGGCATCGTACTAGGTCCAGTGGTGGGTATAGCAATAAATCGAGAAAGTAGCAAAAGAACCAGTTTCCCTCAGTGTTTTTTTGTTGGCGGGGAGCAGCTCAGTGGTTTCTTAATGACACATGTCTATCACTCAATCAGTAAGGTGTTGGCCAATTATTTTGTGGCCAGCTCTGTGCTGGAAACAGGATAGGGATTAGGAAGAAATGAGCAGGTCTCAGCGTAACTGGTAATAATGAAGGATAAAAGAGAAGGAGTCTCTTCCTCAAGGGTGGTCTTTTGGGTCACTAGCATGACAACTGGGTTGCTGTCTAGTATGGTTGTTAAGAGCATAGATTCTGGAATCAGACTGTCTATTACCACATATGTGATCTTGGACAAGCCATCAAATCTCGGTAATATAGTATGGATGTAATAGTGATACTTATGCCTCATAAAGTTTCTTGAGGCTTAAAAGAGATAACAAACCTGAGGCTGGGCACAGTGACTCACACCTGTAATCCCAGCACTTTGGCAGGCCAAGGTGGGTGGATCACCTGAGGTCAGGAGTTCGAGACCAGCCTGGCCAACATGGTGAAACCCTGTCTCTACTAAAAATACAAAAATTAGCAGGGCATGGTGGCACGTGCCTGTAATCCCAGCTGCTTGGGAGGCTGAGGAAGGAGAATCGCTTGAACCTGGGAGGTGGAGGCTGCAGTGAGCTGAGATCGTGCCACTGCACTACAGCCTAGGTGACAAGAGCAAGACTCCATCTCTAAATAAATAAATAAAAGAGATAACAAACCTAAAACACTTAGTGTAGGCCCTGGCACATGTCTTTAACTTAAAATAAATTGCTTTGCAGGAAGTCTGCAGGCAGAGACAGAAATCACTCCTGCCTCCCTAGTGACTTATGCATATACTGTGCAAACTTTTGGGAAACTCTGTGCAACTACATTCCCTGGAGTTAGCGATTTACACTTATGCTAGACTGACTCAGTACTTTCCATGCTCAAAGTAGATATACTACTACCATAGGGTATTGAGCCCAGTTGGTTTTGGGGATAAAACCTTACATTCTGGGACCCTCTAAGTCCTGAGATCCATTCTCTCTATTTCCCCTGGGGTTGCGCTTCTTGAGTTTGCCAAAAGAGGGTCTAAAATCCAGGAACAGTCAGGCATGCTAAAATAACTCCTTGAGAGTGAGATGTACATAAAAATAAATAAAGCCGGGCATGGCGGCTTATGTCTGTAATCCAGCACTTTGGGAGGCGGAGGCAGTAGTATTGCTTGAGGCCAGGAGTTCAAGACCAGCCTGGCCAACATAGTGG